TTTAGAGTTTATTAAAATAAATACTTTTGTTTTATGGTAATAATTAACAATAAAAATAATTAAATGACAATAACAATAATAAAAATCCAAATCAATTTTAAAACTTTTAATTCATTTTAATGTTTTTTAATAATCCAAATACTAAATACGCATAATAAAAAAAAAACTTTTCCCTGCCTAGATGTTAAAAGGAATACAATTGTGCTTTAAATAATGATAATTCTGCCTAGATGTTAGGAAATTATTATTAAAGAAATTAAAAAAAAAAACTAAGTAAATTAATGTTAACTCTTTATAATAAAAAAAGTTAATTTTTGAAAATCATAAAAAATCGAACTTGCTTAGAAAGTTCACCTAAGTGTTGAGAATTTTTAGGGATGTTCGCGTTTTCTTTAAATCTAAAATCTAAAACTTTAAAATTTGAATTTCTTAAAAAACCCTAAACTTAGTACACAATCCCTAATCATTACCTAAAAATTATATAGGCTTTGAAACCTCAACCTCAACCTAAACCTATACCCTAAATCTATTTCGAAACTTTAAGGATATGTGTGAAAATCTCGCATGAAATGATTTATTCGGATGTTATCTAGATGATGGAGTATTTAGGAAAACTTTATTTCATTAAGTTTTTCTTCACACGAATTCTTAATTTACATTGATAATAAGATCAATAAAAAAAATATTAATAAAATAAGATTTTAAATATAAACAATCGCATCTAAACTCTGCCTAGATGTTGAAGAGTCAATGTGGTCTCATTATATTTAAGAATCCAATTTAAATTTGCATTTCCTCATTATACATAACACCTATTAGCTTAAATGTGTTTATTTGTTATTATTTACACTCATTTCGCATATTTGTTTGCTACTTGATAGTATCATCATTTACTTTTTTGTACAAAATATTTTTTACTTACTTTTAAAATTTTGATATTATAAAATAAAACAAAAATAACATTCTGAAAGAAATAATTCTCGATACTCTGCCTAGATGTTAGAAAGTCACTGTTAATTATCTTTCACTAAAAATGTTATTTTCATTTTAAGGAATATTGTGTTAAATCTTAAGCGAAAAAAGTTATTTTAAATTCTACCTAGATGTTGGAGAATTTTAAGATAATTCTTTAACTTAAATATTTCTTCCATATTTCTAAATAAATAATTTTTGTAAAAAATATTTTTTTTTTAAAAAAAAGGGAATTAATGTTAAATTTGAAAACAAAATCATTCCATCCAATACCGAAAATAGCGCATAATTAATTGATACCAATTTATGGTCATTGTGGAGGTGTTAATCTTTTCCTACACGTAATCCACTCTCGAACTCAAAATCTATTTTTGTAGATCAAAATCTATCTTTTTGATAAACTTTAAACTCGCTTTTATATTTTATTAAAAAGATAAACTTTTGAGTGATCAATCACACCCTAAAAAATATTGGTGGTGACTACTTTCTTTTTTTTCTTGATTTTAAAATCTATTACATTTGGTAGTCCCAAAACCGTTATGACGCAACTAAACCTTTTAACTTTAAGAAAAATCAATATATTGAGTATTGACCCAGTTGTCCTTGCACCCACCTCAATTAGGGTTGGCAAAGGATCGAGTCAGGACGGGTTTTTGCTCACCCCGAATTCGATCAAACTTTATAATTTTAAAATCTGAACCCGACTCGATCCAAAATTTTTTTTTTATTTTTTATACTCGAATCCATTCCGATCTGATTCAATATTATATAAACCGTATCCGACATGATCTGAAATTAGTAAAATATTGTTTTTTAAATATAAATATATAATTATATATATAAATAATAATTAAAAAATAATTTTTAATATAATATCGGGTCGAATCAGGTCGGGTTTGCCTAAAACCCGAATCTGACCCACCCTGACTTTTTGTTAATAATACATGATTCGACTCGACCTAAAACTTGATTTCAAAAAAAAAAAAAGAATCAATCCTATAAGGTCAGGTTGGATCGGAACGCACCGGGCTCGAGTTGGGCTATCAATCCTAACTTTAATGCATATCAGAACCTTTTTCTTTAATGGAAAAAAGAAAAAGAAAAAGGGTGATTGAGTGTGTCTTTAACATAACTAGATTCATGCCCTCGCTTTGTCGAGCAAATTTTTTAAATATTGATATTTTTTATTGAATTAATTTTAAAATAAAATTTTAAATTAAATTAAATTAAATAATTATTTATTTAACTAAATTTAATTTTTTATATTTTAATATATGTATTAATAGTAATATAATCACATTTTATTAATTATGAAAATTAATTATTTATAAATTATATGAACAAACATATTTGAAAAATAACTTTGTATTATCCTAAATTGCTTTTAATTAAATGATCTTTTATTCTAAACTAAATTTTATTAGTCAAACATTGAAAAATTTTATAGGATAATTTCATCATTCTAATAAAATGCTTAGAAAATTTTTCTTACTTCAAGAGTATTTAAGGAATCCATTCGTTTCCATGAAGAGATTTTGTTATTGGATTGACAAAAATTTTTATAATATCATTTAAAAATTTCCTTTTGTAATTTAATTAATTCTTCTTCATTTTTATAAAAACATCTAAAATTTCCATCATTTTGACAAAATTTAAAAATATCTTATTCCCTAAAGTTTTTTCCTAAGTATCATCCATTCATAATCCTAGTATGACACTCTAATACCGAAACCCATCCCAAAATCAAAACATCACATCTATTCTTTTTTATTTTTATTTATTTTTTTGGCTTGGCTGGGTTCCTCACTCCAGGACTGTTGTTTTTTTATTTTATTTTTTGGCAATGAAAGAAAAAAATAAAAAGTTTTCCTTTTGGATTTTTGATCGATTTTAGGATTGTGAATGGAATTGCCAAAAGCTATTTTTTGTGGGTTTGTTGATTGGGTAAAAAAACTGTTTTCTTATCTTTTATTAAAAATTTCACTTTTTGTAAAAAAAACCTAACCATTACCCATAGATCTGATTGTTGGTTTTGAAACGTGTAAAGTTTGGATATTGGGAAAATGTGAGAAATTGGAAATTAGTTTGAATCTGAAAGTTTTTTTTATTTTGTTGGGTTTTAGTGATTGACGGTGATGTTAATAAGGGTAGTGGTGGGAGCGGTGATGGTGACAACGGTGGTTATAGGAGTGGTGATGATGACAGTGGTGGTGGTGGCAGAAGTAATAGTGGCTAGCGATGGCAACATTAGAGTGATAAAAAGTTGATGTTTTGAATTGTCAAATGTCAATAATACTCTGAATTTGTAAAAATTTCAACTTTATCCTAATAACGACACGTGTCGTCGGCATAATTAAATATAATAATATTTAATAAAACTAATGTGGTAATGCAGTGTGTGCTGATTTAGCATTTGACATAAACAATAAAATTAATGAATTGGCTTCAAATTGAAAAGAAATTGAAGAAGGGATAGCTTGTGTATGTTGTATAGATTCCATAAAGACATTAGATCCAAACTTAATTTTAAGCCACTTCTAATAATTTTTACTGAGTGTAAATGGTCATCCATCCCCAAAAAAATTATGAATGTAGATGGTCAATGAAATTTGATCATTATCAAATCATGGTAAATTGAATCAATTGTATTTTTTACTTTCAACTTAATTTATTGACTTGTATTTTGTTTATCTTTGAATTTATTAATCTTTAGAAGTTAAAGATTGCTTTCATATGATTGTCAATTCGTCTTCTTGGCTAAACTATAATAATCAACCGATGATTGAGTCCTTAATGGCTTCTGTACGTCAACTATACTGTTCATATATATATCTGGTTCTCCATGTGTGGAAACATATCAACTTCACTGATGCTTTTAATATTAATGATGAATAAAATTTATTTATTTATTTTTCATTAATCAGCTTTGTGACTAATTAATTAAGCAATAATAACCATGTAACTATTTATGATTTTTTTTTTCTCCAAGCAATCTAGAAGCAGGTACGATTCGTATGGACGTTGCTTCCAACCACCTACTTCCCTTAAAAACAAAATACATGTAAAATGTCCAACGAACAGATAGAACAGAAACTTTATTTATTTATTTATTTATTATAATCTCAATTTTTATGATAAAAACTCTAACCGTTTACAAAAGTTACGGGACCATCTAGAATGAATGTCACAAAGTCCAACCTTATGCGCGTTTAATACTTCAACAGAGAAAAAAAACCAATTTCGAGGAACCTCTCTGACCATCATTTCACGATGACAATTTGTCTATTCCTATGTTAAATGCCCTGTCCTAATGGTAACCGAGTACTATATATACCAGGTTGCTCTTCTAAGCTTTCCTCAATTCAGTTTAAACATCAACAAAAGTGATAAAGATAATATTTTCTTTTGATCAGTTTCATAGCTAATAAAGAAAAATGGCTGAGAAAGACCAGCAAGTGCATCCCCTAGCACCAGCTAACAAGCAGCCGAGGAGTGATGAAGAATCAGCCGGGTTACAAGCGAAAGAGCTGAAAAGAAAGAAGAGAATCAAATATGCTGTGTATATTGCGGCTTTTGCAGTGTTCCAAACCGCTATCATCCTGGTTTTTGCACTGACAGTCATGCGCGTTAAGAACCCAAAGGTGAGAATTGGAAGAATCACCATTGAGACAATGGAAACCAATAACACCGGAGCTGCTGCTGCTGCTTCATTTGATCTCAAGTTCATTGCCCAAGTTACGGTAAAAAACACCAATTTTGGTCATTACAGATTTGATCACAGTACTATGAGTTTTCTGTATGATGGTGTAATAGTAGGAGAGGCAATTATTCCCAAGGCCAGGGCCAGAGCTCGTTCTACCAAAAAATTGGATGTTACTGTGGAAGTGAACTCCAGAGCATTGACAAACACCGCACCACTTGGCTCAGAATTGAGTTCCAATATATTGACATTGAATAGCCAGGCCAAATTGAAAGGAAAAGTGGAATTGATGAAAGTGATAAAGAGAAACAAATCCCCAGAGATGAACTGTACCCTCACATTCAATGTTTCAACAAGGAATCTCCAAGATCTAAACTGCAAGTGATGGCATAATAATTAAGCTTGGTACCGGTTTTCAAATTTTTTGGGTTTAATTTTTAGTACTTACTATACACTTGATTATCTTCATAGCTTAATATATGTATACCTGTATCTTCTTATACGGAGAGTCATTATTCATTTTATTCGTTATTTTTTAATTTGATTTCATTTTTTGTATTTTGCCGACTATATTTGGTTCTTGCAGCTGGCCTTCTTCTTTAAAATTTATGATTCTTATGTGTATTCTATTGTTAGAAGTTTAAATCTTATGAAATTCATAATTTTTAAAAATCTAACCAGCATAGTATGCAAATCATCTGAATTAATGCTCCGTAAGCAGAAAGCAGTGTCGATTTGACAAAAATCTAAATCAATTAATTAAATCTAGCACATCATCTGATTGAAATTTCTCAACTCATTCTTTAATAGTATATTACAGGTCCAATAAGTTAAACACCATTATAAAACCCAATAGTTCAAAAGTTACGCCACTATATATATATATATATATATATATATATAACTCAGCATATCAAAGAGATAATTATACCGAGCAAGTGGCAGTTAAGCTGCGTGTTTCAGAGGGATATTGGCAAATAGGTAAATGAACAAATAAACAAATAATCCGGATTCATGGATCTGCATTATTAAGCCATTTAATTTTTTGATCTTCATTTTATATTTCATTAAATTTGATGAAAAAGGAAGTTTTTAGTTTCATTGATGCAAAACTGGATATTATATATGTCAGACCCTTCTTTTTTTTTTTTTTCTTTGTGTTGGGTGGATATGCAGGATGCAGGGCTAGAATTCCAAATGAAGTTCAGGCCTAATAGCTCGGAATTATATTAAGAGCTGATTTTTTTTTTTTCCTTTCGACCTTTTTCCTTCCCTTTCTTTTCTTTAATATGGGCTACGGCAAAGCTTGTTACTTGTATAGTATATTTTCTCATCCTGACCTGGAAAGGATGGAAAAGCCAGACTGGGGTTGGAAAATGACTTAATTTCGGACTTGTACCCATCCCACAATAAATACTCGTTTCGTTTTAAATTATTTGAAATTCTTTTATTTTTATAAAGTTTAAGAAAAAATTTTAATTTGTGTGTAGTTAATATTAAATTTAAGCTTTTTTCTTTATAAAATTGAAGTTACATGATTTTTAATATAAAAAATTTAAAAATCATTAAAATAATTTTAAAATATAAAAAAATTAAGATTTTTATGTATTTAAAAAGAAATGATAACATAATTTTGAGATATTCAAACAAGATAAGATTAGACCAAAAATAAAATGGAGGGTTGATAGAATATTTTAAATTAAATTTATCTTAAAATATTAAAATAGTTATAATAAAAATACTACGCTTGAACATAATTTTTGCCAAACCCTTAGAGAGCATAATTAAACTTTTCATAGACTAAAAACTTTAATATATTAGGTAATAAAAATATCACTGTTCATAAATAATTTTATATTAATATATTAAATTTATGTTTGAATTTTACTTTAATTTTCATTTTGTAATTAATGCCTAAGCTTTCGTGTGATAGTGCAAAAACGAAATGAGATTGCTTGAGGGTATGGTCATCAGATTTCCTCGTCCTTTCCTTAATGCAAAGCAATAAAGGGTCAATTGTTGTCCTAAATGTAGATTATGACTTGGAGAAGAGCGCTTCCAAGGGTTGGGAACTGTCATGGACTCTTGCTTTATCTTTTCTTATACCTTTTCTTCATTATTTATATTAAATTCACTCCTTTTTTTCTGCATCAAACTACCGTATTATGAATTTTAATTTCTAAATTAAACTGCTCATTTTTTTAGGTCGATGATCAAATATTTGAAAAAAATATGTTATAAGTTTTACTTTTCATTTTAAATTTATTTATTAACATATAAATAAACTGTTAATTTAATATTTTTGAAGTTGAATTTAAGATTAAAGTTTCGTAACTCAAAAGATTATCAAGATAAACTGAAAAAATAAATGAAGATAAAGATTATTCTAAGTCTAAAACGCTATAGATACGAGATTTTGAGTATTGGTTTTAATTAAAGAGTATTAATGACTTTTAATTAAATTTTTTTAAAAAAAATCTAATAATATTAATTTCAATATATATTTTTATTTGAATGGAGGACTAGGAAATACTTGTCTCAAGGGAAATTTAATTCTTGTTCTAAATAAAAAAGAACTCATCCTAATTAAAGTTTTAACCTTTCTTAGCATATACTTGGTTTATTGAATTGTTTTATATTTATCTTACTTGTTATATATATATATATATATATATATATATATTTCTTTTATTTTTTAGAATTTGTATTTATCTTGTGATTTTCTTTATTCTTTAAGCTTTATCATTTGAATACTTAATTTTTAAGATTAAGATAATAATTTAGAGATAAGTATATATATTTAAAAAGTTGGATCTATAAGTAAAAAACTAATAATTGATTTAAAAAATCAAGTTTAATCAAATTTATTGTGGTTGAGGTTTTCTCATTAAAACTCTTTTGCGTGTTAGCTTCTTTCCATGTGAATTTTATTCACACATTTTCACCAAATGGCTTCTTCTTAAAAGCTTAAGGCTAGGAGCAGAGGGAACAAATTAATAAGGTTGAGGATCATATAAGATATAAGTTGAATCATGAAAACTCTAATTATTGAACCCTGGATTTTCATGAAACTTCAATTAATCTTGTTGCAGTCATAAATTTTACTTTCCAAAGCCGATCAATGAGACTTAAATTTTTTGTCATGATGGAGACTTTTAATATTCATGGACACGTTTTGACAACATAAAGGTCTCTTCATCTTTTGCTGCTCGTGGCTTTTTCAATCCATCATTTTTCTTTTTTCTGCCCTTTACAACAAACGTATAGCAAATGATCAGTCATTTTTCCTTTTCTTTTTAATTTTTAATACAAATTCAACAAATATCTTTGAAATTGCAAGAAACTCCTCCAATCATCCTATGCGGTCGGTAGATTATGATGACTAATAGATACGACTAAGTAAAATCTTTACTCTGCCAAAACAGTGCGAAGAAAAAAAAATTGTTAATTTCGGTTTCAATTTGAAGTTCCTATGCCGACCGTTGTTAAACAAGACCGACTCACCAAAATTAATACACTTCAACACTAATTCAACGCACTAATTCAACGCGGTTGTTCGAGTCCCCTTCATTGTGTATATAAAATGTCCACATGTCTATAACTCATAGGAAAACCCAAAAGCAAAAATCCAGGGCTAATCGATCCTTGATTAAACCAAAAAAAAAGAAAAACTCTAGAAATCAATCTCAAGATTCTCAAGTCTTAACCCTTTTCTCCTTCTTAAAAAAAGAAAATGCAAGAAGACCCTCAGGCCAAGCCACTGGCACCAGTTCAAGATTATCCAAGAAGCGACATGGAGTTTGGGGGGATTAAACCCAAAGCGTTACGTCGAGAAGAAAAGAGCAGTAAATGTCTTGTTTATGTTCTTGCTATAATGGTCATCCAGGGAACGGTTCTTTTGATTTTTGCGAGTATTATTTTACGTGTTAGAACTCCTGATTTCGAGATCGGATCGGCCAGGGTTAGGAATCTCAAGTATGGGAATTCATCGGCTCCATCGTTTAACTTTACACTTGTAACGGAGGTTACTGTTGAAAACAACAATTTCGGAGACTTCAGATTTGCGAACACTACCGGGAGTGTTTGGTGTGGTCCTGTAGTTGTTGGAGAGATGAAAATTCCTACAGGGAGAGCTCAAGCTAGGGCAACAGAGAGGCTGAATGTTTCTGTGGATGTGAGCTCAGTCCGGATATTAGATACCAAGAACTTAAGCAATAATATAAGTTCTGGATTGTTAGAGTTGAACAGCCATGTTAAATTGAGTGGAAAAGTGAATATAATGAATATTATGAGGAGAAGAAGGCACCCTGAGATGAATTGCTTCATGAAACTCAATTTGACAGGGCATACCGTCAAGGAATTAACATGCGACTGATATGAATGAGGAGTAAACTGATCCTCCCCTCTTCTTAATTTTGGCTTTGTAGAGTTGTCTTTGTTTCATTAATTGAAGAGATATGAATATAAGATCACATATGTGTAATTAGATTCTTGATTAGAGATTCCCGTGTTCTTGGGAGACTAATTGAGAACAATTTTTGTTAAAAGATAGTAAAGTATAAAATACTTCTTGATTCATGATTTTGATAATATTGTCAACACCTTGTTGTTTCTGCATGAATGGCGTGTTAACATTTGGATGATAGGAAGTGAATCTTCTGGCTTAAGAAATGAGTAAACTTGCTGATTAATCTAATGAAAATTTCATCGTCTTTAACTTGTATAATAATGTATATGCCATGAATGTGTGAAAGTGAACAAATGGGCCATAGCCGCCCACCTGTCGAATGCAACGAGTATCTTAACAAGTCTTGCGTAGCTTTAAATGATCTTTTCAGGTTAATGCTTATCTAGATAGTTTAGGGTTAAGGTGGTGTATTAAAAACGATTAAATAAAAATAAATATTGATGGATTGAAAAGTCTTATTAATTATATAAATAAAGTGTGTAAAATTTTTTTAAAAAAATTTAATAAATTTTTATATATTTTAGATAATCATTTTGAGTTCAAATTTGGATAAAATTTTTATCATTAAATAAGTATTGATTAAATTTGAATTATAAAAATATTTTTAAAATCTTTTTACATATTATTAATCTTTTCAATAAAGTTTATTAATTTATTGGTTTATATTTTTTTATCAAAATTTTAATTAAATCATTTATACTAAATAATTTTATCTACAAAGCTGCATCTAAGTTTTTCTCTGTAACAGAAGCATTTAATTTAAGTTTGAGAAACCTATTAGTTTTATACTTTTTGATATATGCAATTCATTATTGGATAGATATTATATTATTTTTAACTTTATAATAAATTTCATTTATACTCAATAATATATAAAAACAAATTAAAAGTTGCGCATAACTATGAGTAATTAATTTGATTCTTATGCTTAAGCCATTAATATAAATAATTAAATAATTTTTAATCCCTCATTAGTCAAAATTTAAGATAAACATTATAGGTCTAAAATATAATTTTTATATAAGAATAAATATATAATTTACTAAGATTTAATAAAAATAAACAATTAGATCCATAATTAAATTACTTAAGCATCGATAAAACCAATTGTAAGTAAAAAGGAAAAAAATTAAATTCTGACATAAAATTTTTTATCAACTAATAATTGTTTAACTAGTCATTAAAAAATAATTTATTAATTAGTTACATAATTTAAAATTTGCATAAGTAGTCAAAATTTAATCATCCATCAAGATACAACAATCAACAAATTATTGAACAATTATAAATCTTGAATCATAGTTATTTTCTAGTTTATAATTACGCAAAATTTAATTATAAGCACATCCTAGTAAAGATATGTAGCAAATAAGAAAAAAAAAAAAGAAATTAATTAGTTCAATCAATTTAGTATTAAAAATCAATTGCAATTAATTATAACTTAAAAAGCTACCTTAAAAAGATCTTCAATATAATGACGCCAATTCTTAAAAAGTTCTACAATTAATATAATTATTTTCACGTTAAATGTTAATATGAGTAATTAGTTGCACTTAGAAGTTTTTAAAACTTATTAGCTATAAAACTCATAATTATTTAAAATTTCAATGATTTGATAGAATAAACATTTTAATTATTTTATATAGGAAAATTAAATTTTATTAAGAACATGTTTAATATAAAATTTAAGATTAATAAGGAAAAAGATAAATAAAATTTAATCAATATTTCACTTAATTAGAAAATTATCAATAAAAAATCCATTTTAATACTTTTTTTTTGAAATTACACTCTTAATCAATTGAATAATTAATTATTACATTTTAATCAACATCATAATCAAGTTACAATTACTGAAATTAATAAATTATAATATAACTAAATAACCAAATTTACATACAATATTGAGACATGAATCTAGAACTTTAAAATTTTGAGATCTCTTTTTTATCACTAAACCAATGTCTCATTGACCATTTTAATAAAGACTTCAATGGTAATAAGAAAATAAATCAAAATTAGTCAATACTTTATTTTAATACAAAAAATCCTTAATTAAGAACAAAATAGTTAATTAGTAAATTAGCAAGGGTATATATATGTAGTTTATTATTTACAATTTTGTACTTTATTTTTTATATATATAAAAAATAGAGAGAGATTGTTTTGAGTACACTTATCTTCTTCCATTTATGTTTCTTCAGCATTAATTCTCAAAACATAAAAATAAAGTGCAGAATCTAATTTGTATGTCATGCTGTAATGAATTAATGAAAAATTAAAGCCTCTGTGTTTTGATTCAGGATGAAAATTGAGATGTGAGCTAAGCGTGTTCATGTTTGATGTTTAGATTCAATCCTTTTCCACAAATAAAGAAAAAAAAAAGGAAAAATATATATGGTTGGAAAGAGAAGTAGATTCAATCTTTGCCTTAAGTTACTAATGTTCATCAATTCGCAAGAAAAAGCCAAAGCAGAAAAGATAATGAAGATAAGGTTTCCATGGAGGTTTCATTGGCTGTCTATTCGTCTCCACAGTCCCTTGCACTTTGTAGCCATTCGAAACTTCCTTCTTTTAAGTTTGCAATGGCCCATTTGCCAGTCCTGCTGCTTGCGCCTTGATCAAGCTAAGTTAACAAATTTCTCCACCAGGAAGTACGAAGTGGTGGGTTAAAAGGAAATTGTGACCATTAAAATGTGTGTTAGTGGACACGAGTCAGGACATAGCTTCTCGTAAAAGTCAATATGTTTAGACCCACCAATTCTTTTCCTTAACAGATACGAAAAGTCAGATCACATCACTTAGATTGTGATTTTATTCTCCTTTTCCTCCAACAGGCCGCTACACCCTAACCCTATAAGATAGATAAGAGAATATTGCCTGCGTATCACAAATCCTAGATTGGTGGTTTTGTTAAAATTAAAACCTTAGCTCATCGTTGTTCAAGTGTGTCTTCTAATTTATTTCGATGATAATATAACACAAAATTATCTTGAGATTTTCACAAGCAACATTTATATGCTAAACTAAAGAGCCAAGTCCCAATATGCCAACCAATAGATTATAGAGTTCACACAAAATAACACAATTTCATTCGCCTCAATTCTGGACAGTTAGCTTAATTAGCATTCTTTATTGTTGATATATGATATTTCCTTCATACCCAAAAAATGAAAAGATATTTGCTATTTTCTTCCTTTCACATTGCCAATTATTCAAAACTGTTTGACATTAAATTCAAGATAAAGTCAGTAATGAAATGTACTATTGTAGTATATTTAATTTACTGCCCCATGCAATACATATGACGGATACTCTATGATTGTTGGAAGATAATGTGCTATATATAATCTTGACAACATAATTGAGAAAAAAATAAAGTACAATTGAGAAAAAGAATCGGCAAATGTCAAATTTTTTGAAAAAACTCAATGAAGCTTCTTAATTTGAATGATTTTATGTCCATACATAGTTTGAACAGAAAAAAAAATTGAAGAAAAATGCTCAAATTATGTGGTTTTCAAAGGTAGAATTTTTAAACAAATAGTAGTCCAAGTCAAGACGTAAGAAGAGTGCAAACGCGTTTGAGCCCAAACTATACAGGACAATTCAATGCACATCAATCATAATTTAATTTCCTCGCAAAATGCTATAGACAAAAAACAGAATGTAATCCCATTTTCCAAGTATAAATCTCCAAGCACCAAGGTCACACATTCTAAAACTTGGAAATGGCCGAGCAAGAGCAGGCAAAGCCCTTAGCCCCGGCTGCCTTCCAAACTCGCAGCGACGATGAAGAACGCTTGTCTATGCAATTGAAGTCGAAAAAGAGAACATATATCCAGTGTTGTGGCTGCATCACGGCGCTTTTATTAATTCAAGCCGTGGTAATTTTAGTCCTGTTTTTCACAGTATTCCGGATACAGGACCCGAGGATCTGGTTGAATTCTGTAACATTCATCCAGCGTCCGGAGTTTTTACCAAACGGAAGTCTCAGGGCTGATGTGAACGTGACACTTCTAGTTGATTTTTCAGTGAAGAACCCCAATGTGGCAACCTTCAAATTCAATAACAGCACCACGTCGATTTACTACCGTGGGAGGGTGGTTGGCGAGGGCACCCATCTCCAAGGGAAGGCCAAGGCGAGGCGTACACTGCGAAGGAATGTGACAGTGGAAATTGTTCCTGAGAAAATCCTGGCTGTTCCAAACTTCCTGAGCGATCTCATTTCCGGGGCATTGAACATAAGCAGTTACACCAGAATTTCAGGCCGGGTTAAGATTTTGAAAATTATTAAGAAAAACATTGTGGTGAAATTCAATTGTTCCATGACTTATAGACTTTCCGGTGTAGACTTTCATGGACAGATGTGCAGGCCAGAACTTGATTTCTAGAGTCATTTTTTCCTATGATGATTGTTGAATTTATGTTAGATATTTAGAGCGCCTCAATCCTAATTGTTGTATTTCTATAATATTTTTTTCTCCTATGAAATTACCTATAAAGACAAAGGAGTAATTTAAAAAATTGCCCAGTTTTAGTTTTTTACTCAGTTGTTCAGATCTTAGATTAAAGCAAGATCTCTTTTATTTTTAAAGAAATACTGCTCGAAAATTTCCAGTGCTCGAATGGCGAATGTTACCATTCGGTTTCTCTCCATTTGCCTGTTTTATATACATATATATATATATATATATAGATATAGATATATATTTTTATTTTTATTTTTAGTTTTTTGCTTTTGCCATTGCAGAATGTTATTGCATCAGCTTTCTTAAATATATATGTATATATAAAACCATTAAATTGGAAACTTAATTTAGATGGTTAATACAGTTATCTTAAAAAAATAATATTAAACTGATATAGATTCAAATTTTAGCAATTATAACTCTTATCTATTCCACTTATTGATTAACAAAATAATATATTTATACAGCAAAATTAGTTATTGCAAAAATTTAAATTGTAAATTAATTAGACTTTTCCTTTTTTTTCTTTCCATTCCATATAGGCATAACTTTCTTCATTCTTTTCCTTGAAGTTGAACCTTAATCTCTTCAATTAAATTTAAAATTTCAAACTTTCTCAAGAGAGTAGTATGGTCCTCCGGAGCTGCAAAGTTATTGGTAGAGTACTTGAATAAGAATTCATGCACGAATTCGTCAATGGTAAGTATGTAGGAAATTTAACGGAAGAATTCCACATTCAAAGAAAAAAAAATGAATGGAATTAAACCAAATTTCGAAGTCTGCTTTTGGATGTAATTATTTGGTCAAATGAAGCATCTTCTAATTTCCCATCATAAGGTTTATGACTACATTACATGCACCCAAAGCTGGAAGTTTTTTCCACCTTCGATCGTTTTCATTCTGACTGTTGACATATCTATCTCTCAGGCTTTTTAGTCTCTCACCGATACTTTGATTGATCAAATATACATATATATATATATATTTATAAAACAATACATCTTATATAATTTTTATTATAATTAGATAATTACAAATTTATAATAGCAAATATTGAAGAAAAGAAATGCTCTCATTAAGTTATTTTAAAAGCATTTATTTAAATACTAATAAATTTAAAGAATATAAATAAACAACTTTTTGTTCTTCGTCATGTTATAAAATTTCCTCTCGAACTTGATTTCATTGTTCAAGTTTGAATCCCGATAGTCATAATCTCGTTTTACAAACATGTAAAATGAGGCTCAGAAATTGAGACAATTTGGGCCTATGAAGAGAAAGACGTTGGACTTGATAAGCCGTTTTTGGGGTCAACTTTTGCTCAGTCACTGCATCATCGCCGGCCCATAAAGCAGGAATGTGTTTCTTTTAATTTTTAATCTATCCTTACTTATCAACTTCTATACTCACTTGAATCCTTTTTATCCATAATTTTATAAAATTTGACCTCATCTGAATTAGTAAACAAACATCGCTTTACATTTAACTTGAAAATGCAAACCGTCGTATTCGAAAATATACATGAATCACTGGCAAAAGCTTTGCGTGGTTGGTTGATATTCATACTAATAAAGTGACACCAATTTAGTTAGTGAATTGACAAAAAATCGAATTACATTCTAATAAATATATATAATGAAAGATATAAAATTAATTTAATATAAAATTTAAATATTTTTAATTAATTTGTTTTAAAAATATTCAAACATTTAATTGAATAACTACCCACTATTTTTATAGTTAACTTTTTATCACCTATTTTTTCTCATTTTTTTTATTTCACTGTGTCAAATTCTAGTTTTTATTATTTATTTTTTCAATAAAAAATAAAAAGCATTAGAAAAAAAGAAAATGCAGCTAAAACCTTTCTTTTTATTTTTTTCGTTTTTGTTGGGAATTACCATCATTTCCTTCTAATAGCCTAAAACCCTAACTTGTTTTTTTTTTTTTAATTTTTTATTTGACAAAATTTTTTTGAATCCAATTCTTTAGACCAGGAATCCTTGTATTCATGTTGAATTAAATGCTTGATGTAACAATTTTCATGCTTATTGCTCTAAAAGGCAGGCATATCATCCCTGGGAGCAGTGCCAATCTTTCTTCCTCAGTTTGATGAGAACATGTTGGGGGACTTTCTTTGTTAAACCTTTTCAAGTGCATGAATTATTATTATTATTATTATTATTCCATTTATAACTTCCAAAAAAAGCAAGAAGGAAACGCTTAATCAGCAGTCTCATTTGCCTTTACTGAAATGCAGAAATTCTTTCTGGTTGGATGAATCGTTCCAGTTTAATCACTCTCAAATCTCGGTCGAGGAGGAAAACCATCCCTCCTGCACATGTATGCTCTTGATAGGGGCATTTTGCCTCTTAAAACAGCTGCAAAATCGCAATTGTCTTGGTTGATGAAATTTGTGTTTTAAACATCCATTTATGAATTCGAGAAAACAAAGATTAATTGCCCTGTTCATGAATCAGCCTCTTTATTTGATCCCTGACTATTTAGGCAGGCTTTTCGAGGGTATCTGCCCCCTATAGCAGTTACAATATAGGCTAAAATTTGCTAACATGTTTCTCTCTCACATCGAAAACCAAATACAGTGCATATGTTAAGATCTTCCCTCATCTGATCATCTCCCATTGCCATATCGTTATCTAACAATTGTAACCAGACCTCCTACGTTATCACAATTGAATTCAAATAACCCTTTAGGTACATTCTAATACTTTTTAGATCAATGGTAATACATCTATCATCACTAATTCTGCTAACTTCTATTTCTAATTTGAGTTATAAATTTCACGAAAACAAGGTATGATGATGAACATATTAATTGATTGTAATTGTTTCTAAAAGTAACTGATAAGAGCCAAATACGCATCTCTTCTTTTTTTCTTTTTTTTTTTATCAAAGACAGAAAACATTTTCTGTTAAAATGGTTATAATTTTAACAAGCGCAAAATCTCATACGATTAATTGTATTTGCGGAAGTAGTTAAAGTACCTAAATCAATGAAGACCTTGCATGTTTTATATTTAAAAAAAAAAAAAAAAAAAAACTATGGTCAGTACTGCTGAGTACATGTAGAGTCAACAATCCAACCGTTCTCGACGAGTTTCGATCCGATCCTATGAAATTAGATTTTTTTTTTTTGAAATTCGGGTTTCGAGTCGGGTAATATTAAAAACAATCGGGATTGGGTCGGGTTCGGTTTTTAGGTAAACCCGATTCGATCTGATATTATATAAAAAATTATTTTTTAATTAATTAATTATTTTTTTATTTATATATATTTTTTATATAATGATATTTTTAAATATTTATGTTTAAAAAATAATATTTTATATTTTTTAAAAAAATATTTTATTAATTTCGGGTCGGATACGGTTTATATAATATCGAGATCGAATATGAAAAAACAAAAAAATTTTCGAGTAAGATCAAATTCGGATTTAATAATACATAAAATCAGATCAGATTCGAGACGGATCAGATTAGAGACGAGCAAAATCCGTCTCGAATCAGACTCGATGCCAACCCTAAGTACATGAAACTTGATATGAAACTTCATCGCATGAATCAGTTTTTTTTAATAGGAGCATTGACATATTCTCACTCACATGCTGGTAAAAAGAAAATGGACTAACATTACATAGTTTGGCAGATTCATATGGGAAGACTCATAAAGATGCTTCCTGTGAATGCCACAAATTCAGACACATGCATGCAGGTTTCTCGAGAAAAATTTTCTGATAATCAAACAAATGGCACTATTTTTGCTTTATTGTTTTTTCTTTATCTTATTCAAAAGAATGCTTTAATTATTTAATTTGATGGCATGGGAAGTCAATGGTGTTGTATTAAAAGTCTTGGGAAAAGAAGTTTAGTGTTAACAGACAAACAATGCAGGACATTAACAATAATAAAAAAATGCAGTATAACTAGGGTTGGTCATGTCTATATGAAGACTGCATCAGGACTTAGGAACATTACCAGATACCAAGTTCGTTTTATATCCCACTTGCAATTAATTAATATAGAATTTAGCAAAAAGACCGAGTGAAACTTTGAGTTCATCCCTTCTTTTTTTCTTTTTCTTTTGCATAAATTGCAAAAGATATGTTTCGTGAATAGTAATTCAATTGTTTTTTTTTTAAAGACAAAAATGTAGGGCATATAAGACTTTTTATCACATAATCATCGTATCATCATGTTGTTAATACTTGGATGATTTTTTTTTTATAATACGACAGAAGTAATTTTAGAATTTGTTTAGACTGATTGAATCCGAACTCCTTTTACAAATGAACTAATCCGAGTATTTTTTTTTTTTTTTTCCTTCGACAAAAGGAGAATATTGAGGAATGGGGGAAAGGATGACTTGATTTGGATTCAGAGACCAAATCTACATACTTACACATATTGTGTCCCGGTTGAAACTAGGCCAAGTAGTGCAAGGCCAATCATGGATGAAATTGGGATCATGTTGAGGAAATCAAAACTGGAACAAGATATAAGTAAACTTCTTTAAGAAAGCTTACGACCCGTGTAAGATCATAAACTTTAAGAAGTACATGCATTGAACGGTTCTCTTTCCGACAAATATAGCACAATTATTCCTAAAAATGCCATGAGCTGATAACCTCCGTATTCTTTGTTTCGTTATGTTTTCTTTTTTATGGAGAGAGATTGAAAAAGGGAGTGACAGCGTGCTTTAATATTGAGTCTGATTAGAAAGCCTATTTGCACTTTCTAACACACTTAGTCAAAGTAATGTGCGAACAGAACAATGTCGTTATGAAGTCTTTCGAGCATGCTGCTTCAGACACTAAAACCAAAAGATTCTTACTACAATCATTTACTCGATTTATTACACAACAAAATTCAGTTCATTTTTTATTTCCTAGCATCCTCGGATTTTGTTTGCTTGATTTCTTTATAGGGTAGGGTTTACCAAGCAAACGAAAATTAAGTTCACAGAATAGCAGATAGCAGCTGCGGGCTGCTGCTTAAAACACAAAATTAGTCAGTAGGAATCTGATTACTGACCAAAACGACAAAAGGGTTCGCCCATAAAACGTAGCAGAGTGGCAAGGGGAGGCACTCAGCGCTCAGCAGCGGTTTTGTAGGCCCCAAGCCTGCCGCAAGAAGACAAATTTAATCACCTGAGTGATTTTAAACCAACAAAGGAAAAATGGGACGCACCATCAACATCCATGACTTCTCGAGTTCCAATACATGCTTAACCTGAGCTACGGAAAAGAAAATGAAAACAAGAAACAAGGAAGAGGAGCCCATGGGAGAACTTGGTTGTCACCTGCGCCATAGACTAAAAAAGAGAACAAAAATGATGGGATTTTAGCTGTGATGGGGATACCGATTCCGAATGCCATACTCTAATCTGCTACTGCCTAATCTTTAACCTTGTTATGTCTGTTCTTTTTTCTCTCTTCCTTTGAGAAAAAGAAAGGAAAATCTCTCTTTTTTTTACTGTTTTGGTTTCCACTTTCCCACTTCTCTGACCGCTAAAGACAGCATTTAGTCCTGACTCCGGGACCCATGAATAACAAATCCAAATTAAAAGGTTCCCACATCCTAAAAATTGAATTCCCAAATTGTTCGAACGACAAAAAAAAAAAGGGAAATTTGTTGATAATGATGGAGCCTTCATATCATACTTGATTTTTTTAAAGATAGATACAAAGATCTAATTCTTCTTTCACTTTCACCGAAAGAAGAGGTTTACATACAGTAGGGGGAGAGAGCAGAAGCGAATGACTAGCTACTACTAACCACTAAACAAGTCATCCTCACTAGAAGCTACTGCTCTTTTTCCCTCATAATTCCCATTATCTAGTAAAGAAAAACATTTACTTACACAGAGATAATCAATTAAGCTGCTGAATTAACTGACAGGTGAAAACTGATTTCCTTGTCTTGAAATAGCAAATCCATAATTGATTCACTGATAAAGGACAAATTTTCCCGCTTTTTTTTTCTTTTTAATTTTTGGGGAGTCGATCTTAAAACTTACAGAGATGGGATTTTCAAGCATTCATGCTTTAGCTTCATCCGGAGATGATTTTCTTGACAAATTAATTGACTTTTCATGAGATGGATCACTCACTGACCTTGGCAACACGGAAGACTCTGACGAATCTATGACAGAAAAAATAAAGGAATTAAAACTAACTCAGAAACAGAACCAAGAAAAAAAAGGATCATCTTTAAGTAATGTGACGAGCATTAAATGAAATACCTCGAGAGCCATTAAAGGATCTCTTGCAGTGCAAGATGGCACTTTGGATTCCATCCTGTTGCTGCAACAGAGAATCATCTCTCCTCTTAGATAAAGCCGGTGCAGGAGAAGCTGCAGCCACGGCGGAGGAAGCCGATCTACTCTTTCCCAAATGCTTACAAACCACTCTAATTCCTGCTGGAATATTCACCTGCTTGAGGTTCTTCCCATTCACCTGATTCTCCCCAACCTCCAACTCCACTTGTCCTTTTTCCGCTATCGTCACCTTCCCTGAAACCGGTTTCTGAGCCCCTGTAGACGGTGGCGTTGCTGGTTTTACAGAACCCAAGCTTAACTGCCCTGAAAACCTTAACTTCTCACCGTACCTTCTTGAAACCCTAACGTAAAGAGGCTTAACTTTCTTTAAGTATTTTTGCATTACATCTTTGGAGAATTTCTTTTCATCAGAAACTGAGTCTTCAGAGCTCTTCTGTTTCTGTGACTTGCTGTTGTCTCTGGAAAACAAAGACATTAGAGGAACCTCTTCAACCTTAAATTTTACAGTAAAAAACTTGTTCTTGTTGTTGTTGTTTTCTTCTTGAGTTGTTTCTTGTTTTTTTGGTGTGGCAGTGGGAACAGAAACAGAGCCATTAGCTGAAGCTGGCTCTGTTTTTTCAGTAGAGTTGAGCTTTGATTTCTTGAACCTTAACAAGAAAACTCGAAACTTGGTGGCTGATTTCAACAATGAGACTGGGAATTGAGGAGGCTTTGAGTCTGAAGAAGAGTTTGGCTCAATTGGTACAAGTCTACCTTTAAAGAACAAATCATCAGATGGAGATAGAGTTAAGTTTGGATCAGAACGGTCGTTGCTAGAACCAGAGGAAAGTGTGAAGTTGAACTCTCTTTCACCATCCGAGCAGCCATCATCAGATTTTGCATCAAAATCGTCGTTTTGATCCTCACTCTCTTCATCATCAACATTATCTCCCTCTTCATCAATCTTTTCGTGTTCCTCTGTTTCCTCTGTTTCATCCTCATCAGGAACCGCAAATTCAAGGTCAAAGAAAGGCCCATCATCGTCAGCATCATCATCCGTATCCACCGCCTGATGAGTAGTCAAGGCCGTCACAATAGTAGTTGTGCCGCCAGCAGTGGTGGTGGAACGTGTATTAACACATGCATTACCGCCATCTCCACCATTAGTACCACCCCCTCTCCAATACTTAAGCAAGCTAAAAGCTTCCATAGTTGGGAAAGCCAGAATAGAAAAACACAAATTTTGAGTCTTTTTTTTTTTTTCGAAGATGGGCTTTTAGACCAGAAAACTAAAACAAAATACCAAACAAAAAAAAAGGGGACTTTTTTAGAAGAGGGAGAAGTTGGAGGCTAGCGTCAATTGGAAGTACTGAAAATGGAGTGTGACAGTGAAGAGAGACCGGGAGGAGGGATAAGCTTTTCTACCAAGGGCGAGAAAAGGAGATTATAGAGAGGGAGAGCGCTGGCGTTTGTTTTGTCTTGTATTGTATACGTGGTTGCAGCAGCCAGAAGGTCAGTCATGTGAGAGCAGTCTGAAATGCAGAGAGGAAAAAAAAATTGAGAGTTATAAGAGAAGAGAGAGGTGAAGTGTGTGTACCATTGTATACAACTGTACATATACTATGTACTATTAATATACTGTAAAATGTTTATTACTACTAATAGTAAATATATATATATATAAAGCATTTATTTTACAGTATTTTTTGTGGTAGTTGGGTAAGGTAAGATCAGTTCACATCTCTCTCTCTCTCTTGTCACCATGTATGTCTTAAAATTTTCTCAGGTCAGCTCTTCCTACCCATCCTTTTTTGCTTTATAGTAACTTCATTCATTGAATGGGTTCAATAATGTTATTCCTTTAACTCAGCTTTTATTCTCTGTGGTGTTTTGATTGAATCCATAATTGTACAATATTGTGAATCATGTATCTTAATTTAATTTAAAAACTCAAATCATTATGGAATCATATGGTTTGATGATGTTATACCGCATAATATAAGAACAAGATATGTGACAATACTATGATCAGAATTCTCTTTATTAGTTTGTGGACTTTTTTGTGGAAAAAGCAGCGTTATAATTGCACATCACCCTTCTCTTTGACATGGGTAGTATTTGGGGCATCCGCATTCTAGTCCACTGAGTTCTAATTTGGCTTGCTGATTATTGTACACCATTGTCATTATTGTTTCATAAAATTTTACACAAATTATGCAGGAAAGAAAAAGTGAGTGGTCGAAATTTCCTGGAAGAGGGGAGAAAAGTAAAAGACCAAGGAGCGTCTAGGCAGGTTTTAAGAAACAAAAAATTAAAGAACTCAAAGAGAAAGGAAGGCTTTGATTCTTGATCCTGAAGCTATCATCTCTGACTATTGCCTTTAAACTTGAGCATAGGTCTGTGAGTTAAACTCACATTTACTTTTACAGACGAAAAGGGCTGAATCCCGAGGTCCAAGGCCTGCCATGCTGCTGAACCCGGATTGGCTATAGTACCGTAGTAAAATCACGTGGCTAACATGCATGTAGGGGACCTTTGCATAACCCAGTTCCAATTGAGGGTTTACTTGGAAAAAGCTTTGACCTAGAGAGTTTTCTAAATACAGCCTGACTGCGATAACCCTAACCCTTCTTTTCACATTATATGCCTCAACAAAACAGAGTAAAGTTTCCTTACACAAGGATAAAGACCGGCTCTGGTCCTTCCGGTTCTCACGCTTTCGTGTTAGAACTGATAAGCGATAAAGGACTGCCCGTCTGCCCAATTTCGATGGAAGGCTGATAAATTATTTTGAGAGAAAGATGAATGACAGCAACTGTCCAATGTACTATACTAAGGAGTATGGACAACCCCATGATTTTTTTACTTGAGGGAGGCAATTGGAAATGGGTCCCATAAAAGTAAAAAAAAAAAAAAAAACCACATCCAATAGAATTACATGCGGTACTTTTAATTGCCATTTGGTTGGTTTGCGACACTAATTAAAGCTTAACGAGTTGTAAGGCAACCTTAATTATAAACATGCCTCCAACAATGTGCTGCAAACATAAATAATGCAGCCTGTAAATTTGGACAACCGGGCAGGTTCTTGACTGGCTTCTCATTGGATGGAGAAGATCCCTTGTTATTTGTTGGACTGAATAGCCTGTTTCACTTTGATTGCTCTCAAATTCTCATCTACAATTATTAATGTTTCATAACATTTTGGTCAAGTTTTTAAACTCATTAATTTCAAAGCAAGTAAAATTCCTTCATAAAAAAAAAAAGTAGAGTTGAGACAGAAATGGAGAAAAAATTAAAAAGCATTTTAATTACCATTAAAAAGAAGAAAATAAAGAGGAAATTTTTCATTTTTTTAATTTGATTTAGAAGGTAAGTGTCCTGGACTGCAAGCTATGCTTTAGCACTTTTCTAAAGGGCCGCATTCTTTCAACAAAGCAAGTCAAAGACCCTACAGTTTGGTAGATTTTTCGGAAACTAGCCCAAAAACTTGACCTTATTAAACTTATAGTTTGATTCAGATTAGGTTAGATGCATGCATAAAATAAAACATGGAAGCGTTAAATGTTTGCAAGGTGTTAATTAAAAAGGTTCTTGAGCATTTCTTTTATATATTTTTGACCTTTAATCAGGGATGAAACCAGCATAATGATGTAGGGGGTCAAATAATAAATCAAGTTGAAAAAGGAGGTAAAGTTTTATATTAAAGGAGCCAAAATACTAACTTTAATGCTATCAAAATTTTTTTGCCCCTAAATTCGCCCCTACCCTTAATCATGGAAAAATAAATTAAAAAAAATAAAAACCTTAAATTTCTTATTCTTTATTGTTACTCATGTTTTTGTGTCCAATTGATTTTATATGCATATATTAGTTTACAAAGATTTTCTTTCTGATTAAGGATATAAGACTGAACTTCACCCTAAAAACAAAAGATGAAAACCAAATATGCATAACAAGCTTACAACTCTCTAGTGAATAATACAAACTAAAAGTATATAGGTTCTAAAGAACTAGGCTCACCTTTCACTTTAGTTTAGAAAAGGGATCTTATCCACTAAAATCCCCCGATTTCCTAACCACTTGTCTTGTTTATTGGAGGCAAGATACAAAAGTTTGAAATCTATACCCCACATTCATTTGTATTTACATCAATAAATCACATGAAACTTTGGGAAAAGAATGATTTGTTAGAACTATAGCTTGGAAATCTTTAAAAATAAAACAAAAATTCCCACTAAGATTATGATGGTAATCACAGCTTTGGCATTTTTTGTTGCCACTTACTTTCCTTTTGAGCATGGAGGATGGCCCATTACTTCTCCCTTTTCTTTCTTTGATCTTTTCTTGTGGAAAAGAACAAGTCCTTCTTCCTTTTCAGGTTTAAGCCTCAATCATATCCCATTTCTAGCTCCATAATTTTTTGTTGGCACTTTTACAGTTGCTTTGCTGGCCCTCAACGGAGATTGGATTTGATACAGTTATATTTTAAAGAGCTTAACCAAAACTTGGCAACTGCCACCTTATTATTAAAGTTGCAGGTTTAGTTCGTTGATAGATCATTTTCTCCCTAAGCCCAAACCACTCTATTTTCTAGTCCACAGGCTCTACATCTGTAGCCCAATTTTTGTGCCTTTCCCCAACCCTGAAGCGAGGTCCAAATTTCTGGCTTGCTTCCAAAAAGACCCAATTTCAAGGTTTTCTCCATTGTTTTTTATAACATGAAAAAAAAAAGTTCTTGCCCTTTATTCAACTTGCTTAATTTGACAGCAACTTCTTTTGGGTTACAATCCTTTACCTATATTGGCATTTGCCACAGCTACTACAGACAATTTAATTGTTTTTTTTCTAGTTTAAGCAGACAATTTTATCTCATGACAGAAAAAGAAAGAAAATATAGTTAGTGCTAGATAAGGAGTCAGGCACATGGTACACAGCGCATATTCGTTGAAATGTTCTTTTTTTTTTTTTTTTTCAAACAAAGCTGTATGCCTTTGAACAAATCCTCTTAAATTCACATGGAGAAGCCGTCATTGGCTTGAATGACAATAGTGCCCTTATTCCCATCAATTTCAGACCGCAGCCTCAAATTATAACCCTTCAACATGTTTATATTGGCCAAAAAAGACAAAAACAACTTCCAGAAATTGGCTTCAAATAAGGCCAATGAACAGCTCCAGGTATTGAAGCTGAAGTCTTTATTATCTGGAAGTGCATCCTAGTACAAGCCGCAATCATGAAGACAGTTAAAGCAGGGCTTATATTTTTAGCTGCATTGCCTTTTTCTCTCTTTACAGCATCAAATGAGGTAATTCTAATGCTACCCTACTATACTCTTTCTGGCAGTTTGTTTTTTTCTTTGCTTCTCCTTTTAGTTTGTTCAGTATTGTGATCACCCAATAGTTTAGCTCCTCTTTTCTGTATTATATGACCCTAAAATGAAGAAAAATAAGTTTATGGGTGAAGAAAGGGAAGTCTCTATATTCTTTACTGGCAACCCCAACACAACTTGTGATGAGATGTTGATTGTTTTTATATTCATGCTTTGTTCAATTGTGTGTATGTTGTTGTCTATTCTCTATTATTTATGTGTTTTCATTTGTAAAGAATTCATGCATGTTGGTTCATTTAATTTAATACGCATGTTTCTTTTGCTTTAATGTTAATGTTATGGTCTCTTTTAATTGATTGATCAAGATTCAAGAAGCACGTACTCAAAGTCGTTTCATTTGCAATATTGCAAGGGAATTACTGTTGGGAGTTAAAATTGCAGTCTGTTCTTTTGGGTAGTTGGTGGATCTTGATAAAGAATCATGGTTAAGGGTATTTGTCAATTGCATTAATTAAATGTTTTTGGTGTCTGCATATAAAAATTAAAAGAGATTCTTGCTAGTATGTTGTTTCTAGGATTCTATAGACTGGGATGCAAATTTGTGTATGATGTCATTTCTATTTTGTGTATGATGTTTAGAGTTAACTGAAGGTAAACCCAATACTTTTTGTTGCTTTAATGGAATGATCTTTGATTGGTTTTTGGAGGGTTTGGGGTAGCTAAGCCATTGAGTTGCCCATCAACCCCCTCTCTTAATCCCCCCACTTTGAACAAGAAGGCTATTTCTATTGTATGGAGACAACAGTTTTCGAAAAGAACCTGCTTACCACTGTCTGTGTACATCTGCAAGTATTTGATGATCCCCGGAACTTTAACTTTTCCTAACAAAGCAATATATAGGTTTGGAACAGCCTATAATAAGGCAATTATTGGTTCTATAGATATGTAGGATTTTGGTTGTTATCCACCTCAATAAGTAGAATTTGCTATGATAATTTATCTGTCAAAAGATTTGAACACAATCATAAGTATTAAACGTTGGTTGGTATCAATAACAAGCCATGAAATGGTGCGGTCTTGAGTAAAGGTTGTTCATTATGGTTAAGCCATGATAAAAGTTCTCTTAATGAGTTAATTCATGGTCATGCTAGTCAGTGAGAGAGATACTGTTTAGTTGTCAGATCCATGACTCTGTAATTGCTGCCAAAATACAGCAAAATTACATTACTTTTTGAAGCTAAGGAAGCAAAATTCAGAAATATGGTTTCTGTGTCAAAGCACTTTCTTTGTGAAAGTACTAGATACACAGATGGTACAATGGTAATGGCACATATAAGAGAGTAAAGGTATTTTGTTGACTGTCATAAGGTTCTTATGACAATGGGAAAGATGAGAATTTGGAAGGAATAATTGGAGTGACCGGTGAATTCTACTCACTGATCTAGTCATGCTCAGTCTTGAAGGTAAGGTGGCTGTATGTCGTGTCATGCATGGCAAGGCATCTACTCACTTATTTGCTTTATAGGTGTCCTATGTTTGAAGTTAAATTAGCCTACTTGATAGCTAATAACTTTAAAGTGATAGAAAACCCACATTTTTCTTAGACAACATCATGATGTTAATGATTGTTTACTAATGAGATGCCTCCATGCTACATTGATGAATATCCCAAATCACACATTTTAGTTTTTTTCCACCAAATCATTATGAAAAATGAAAATTTTGGATTGATGCAAGATCAGGGCTTACTCTGTCCAGATATAGATGTTTGCAGAAATTGATCAGCTTTTCTTGCATTTCATTCTCTTGACCTCGCAATTTTCTGAATCATCTGCTTATGTATGGATCAGTCTTGAAACCAGTCTTGCAACAACACACGTTTGTTGAATTGTTGGACTCCTAAAATTGACAGCCAACTCATTGAAACCAGTCTTTTACACTTCAAATTCAACATAAATTACCAGACTACTATAATCCATGTGCCATAATCTTCATCAATTTCAAAGGTTTAGTCCAGCTTCCCTGTCTGTCAAGGTAAACTTCACTATGAGTAAGCTGTAGACTTTAAGTCGGAACATGAGCACATCTTTTACCTTATACGCATATGCTCTTTTTTAACTTTTAATTTCTATTTTTATAAGGAATAATAAACTAACTAGACACTGGGAACAAACTTTTTAACCCCTTTTTTCTTGTTGTAGATGTCCTTGGGTTTTTACAAATTATAAATTATCATATTAATTCTATTAATTGGGAGCTGGAAATGGATATCCTATGTCACTTTTTATTTGTTTTGGGACTACTATCCTTACTTCTTGGGGTTGTACTCATGAATAGCGTGCACTTTTTATGAATGTTTTGTCACATATAAGCTAGATGTATGGTCATCGAATTATGTCAAAGAAGACTAATAATCTCCCAATCCTAAACCAACTTTTAATTTTAGTTTTACACATTGCAATCTTCAAAAGAGTTTTGACAGTTAGATTTTGCTGTTTTTCAAGTTTTGATGCTTTTTCATCGAGACATCTTTGTCTTCCCTTCACATTTTTGTTAGCTTTCGTTTGGAGAAAGTATATTTGTTCCTCCTCTGGCCCCATGAAGAAACCCCACTTGTGGCTGTTAGATCATGCTCTAACAACTAGTGCCTGCTACATAATGGCTAATTTCTCTTATGTACAAAATGAGCTACAAATTTCAGCAGATTTTCTCCTCACATTAGCATCACAAATAAATGTATAGATTCTAATTCTTTCTCTCTTTTTTTGAGTTTTATTTGTTTTTCTGTTCTTCATGAAAAATTGAGTAGCTTTACCTTTTGTTTATCTGTGTAAATTTGCTGATGGTTGAGTTCTCAGCATGAACATAGATGTCCGTATTTGTGCAACGCTTACCAGAGGAAATTGTTGTTGAAATTTGTTTGTGGTATGTGTTGTGTGCCAACCCATTCACAATTTACTGTAGATTTTATCTTTTTGGGTCTGGTGATATTCATTTTCTGACCGGTGATAATGAACAAGACACATGCCCAGCCATCTTATCCCACCTCCATTTCTTGATATTTGTTCACTCTTTCATGCTTCACCTTACGTCCTTACCCTTCCACTTCATATGATTTTTTCTGACTACCACCACCACCCAAAAATCAGTACTACCCTATAAATTTCTCGTCAGAAATATTTAGAGAGGGGTTCTTGAAATTTATTCCAAAATTATGGTTTAACGACCGTGTAGAAGTCTCTACTAGAAACATCTAGATTTTATTTATTTATTTATTTTTAAATCTTGAAGATACACTTATAGACATGGAAAGTATTATACAAACCAATTAATATATTTTTTAAAAAAATCTTTATTCTAAGTTATCATTAATATGGACCACAAATATAAACTAACCTATTAATTATGGGTCCCTCAATTAAATCTAATAATGTATAAGCCATGAGGTGGGTCTTTTTTTTCTTTTATTTTCCTAAGGTTATGAATTAATTTAATAAGTTTTCTGCCCATTTCCTTAACAAGTAAGGACCTCTTTTTATTTTTGCTTAGTTAATAACTAAGGAAATTTAAGAAAACATGTAAAATAAAAATTCGAAATTTATTATTTTCACCTTTTTTTTCTTTTATTTAATGGATAAAAAATATTTTTTTAAAAAAAAAATTAAGGACTTTGCCTTTACTCAAATGTACCCATTATAAGTATGACTTGCCTATCTTAACCTCCACAATTAAGTGAGAAGAATCTCACGCCTCACAATTCCACGTGTCAGAAAACTATTGGCCCGTTGTATTACAGATGTCTCCGTCAATATCGACGGCCGTTAATCCTCGAACCTATAAACGTACTTCCCATTCATTCATCTTTTTCCAGCTGCTCCACACCTACAGGTTCTCATTTCCAAGCTTATCAACGGTCCAGATCAAAACTTCTTCATTAAGCGGTCTAGATTAAATCTAACGTGTACATTCTCTGTTTAGCCACAAAAAGGATTCCAGCTTAGAAGAAAGAACACTCTAAATTTTCACTTCTCGTCTTTTCTCGTTTTTCTTTCTTTCTATCTTCAGTCGTTTCGAAACGAGTAGTTAGGGTTTTAGAATTTGGGTGAAAAGAATGGCTGAGCACGAAGAGAAGCATGAGGAATCGTTGATGGAAAAAATAACAGACAAGATCCACGGCCATGATTCATCGTCATCATCGTCGGATTCCGATGACGATAAGCCATCAGAATCGTCGGTCAAGGCCAAGGTCAAGGTCTTCCATCTCTTTGGAAGAGAAAGGCCCTTACACCACGTTTTCGGTGGAGGCAAACGTATGTTAAAAAATCCCTTTCTTCATTTATGAAAGTTGTACACTCTATTTTTGAGTTCTCTAGAATTTTGGGTTTTTTAAAGTTTTGATTTTTGTTTTGAATCATTTTTAAGTTTCTGACTTTTTTTTATTTTTATTTTTTGGTTATCATTGAAGAGTTAGATCTGGCACAGTGATTTAGATCGAGCTTTGGATTTTGATTAATTGATGTTGTTTTAGCTTAATTGTGGTTTTTGATCTGTTAATATTTAGAAAAGAAGTTAGGGAATTTCAAGATCTTTAACTGAATTGATGCCATCAGTTCTTCTATTTAAGTTTACTTTTTGTTGCTTGATGAGAGCGAACAAATTCTGGGATTATCTTATTTTATTAAAAGTTTCAAACCATATTAGTATTGATTATTAATAACCTTCCCGATGATAGTAATTTGATCTTTTTAATTGGTTATTGTCAGTAATTGTTACCTTTTAGCTTTAATTTTTGTTGTGATACATACTTATGAAATTGGGTGTATGTGTAATAGCTGCTGACATTTTCCTGTGGAGGAACAAAAAGGTTTCAGCAGGAGCGCTTGGTGTTGCAACTGTGATATGGGTTTTGTTTGAATTGCTTGAATACTACCTTCTCACTCTAGTGTGTCACTTGTTGATACTTGCTCTTGCAATACTCTTCTTGTGGTCGAATGCTACTCAGTTCATCAACAAGTAAGCTGTTGAATTTGTTGTCTAATTTGGGGTTATATTTAGATTCGGGGTTCTTTTTGCTCATGGTAATGGTAAATTGTTTTGAGTAGGTCTCGGCCACGCATCCCCGAAGTTCAAATCCCTAAGGACCCTGTTTTAGAGTTTGCCCAAGCACTTAGGTTGGAGATTAACCAGGCTTTTGCTGTCCTGCGGGTTATTGCATCAGGAAGAGATCTTAAGAAGTTCCTCTCTGTACGTTGTTTACTTGTTTTTCTTGTACAGAATGGTTTTCTTTGATTGATCATATGCAATTATTCATCCAACTGGCAATTCAGATAGCGATGCAATCATCACATGGTTTGCTGTGTCGTGATCAATCTTTATTGATATGAGGATTTTGAATTATGTTAATAATGTATTTAACAATCATATTGGAATGGCATTGTGATTGTTTAGGTGATTGCTGGCTTGTGGGTTTTGTCTATTGTGGGAACTTGGTGCAACTTCTTGACATTGTTCTACATAGGTAGTGGAGTCTCCTTCAAGTGCCTTGTTTTTTACCTTTATAAACATTGTGGTTTCCTGATTTTGTTTTAATGGTTGTTCCAAACAGTATTCGTAATACTTCACACTGTACCTGTGCTGTATGAGAAATATGAGGACAAGGTGGATCCATTTGCTGAGAAAGTAATGCATGAGATTAATAAGCAGTATGCAGTGTTTGATGCAAAAGTTCTAAGTAAGATTCCAAGGGGACCATCAAAAGAAAAGAAGAAGGATTAGATTTACCAGCCAAGATGTGCTGTTGCTAGGTACTGACATACATCTGGTAGCCGTGCGTTGTGAAGGTGTTGTTAAATTTTATCCAGTATCAGCTAGAACCCTGCTTTTATCCTTAATTTTCGTAGTCACTGGTTCTCAATGATCATGAATATGGGATCCTTTTTTTTTAAATCTTTGTTTTTTGCTACACACATGGTAGCCAGGTGACATTATGTTGTCATATTGCTTGTTGATTAGTGCACTGTACATTGGGTTGAAATTTCTCTCAAACTGTTCTGGATATCTTTCTGGATGATTCACTTTGCTTTGTGTTTTAACTGCTGTTGCATGCATTACCTACAACGGCGCACATATAATTCCGGCCTATGGATAGACGTCTAATTCCTGTCAGCCAGTGTAAAGTATATCGAATAAGCATCCTATAATGTTTTGATAAAAGTAAAATGCGTTCATAGCTCATGAAGATGCCCATGGATGTCGTAGGAGTAAAAATTTGGTGTCGAGGAGAAAAGCGATTATACCAACTACCGTAAGGCAGGAAATCAAAAGAGTTTTCAAAATCGTTGGTATAGATTGAAACCAACATACAAGGACTTAAAAAAAGCGCTATTGGTTAAAGACGGTCTATCAAACATCGGGTTGTTCCATGTACGAACTTTTGCTGGAAATAACACAGACTAGAGGTAATGACCACCCACTCCCCTGACAAGCACTATCTGAAGAGATATACTTGTACATGAACAACCCAACTGTTGTAAAATAATATTACAAACTTTTTTCACTGCTTCTTAACAGCAGAACTTGGTTAATAAGAAGGATAGATTTTCAGCTTGGCTTTGTTCCCAGTTCGCAACTTGTTTGTTCTTTAATCAGTATTTTCATCCACTGATCAATGAAGGATGACTTAAAATCGTGGATTCTCTATTAAATTCTTCCTATGGTGCTTGTAACTGTTAAATGAATCGAACTTCTTATATGAAGTAAGATAACCGCTGCTTCTTTCTCGATCCCCTTCTCCATACAAATCATTCCATTGTTGGGTCTAAAGTACTTTTTTTTGTTTTGGCCACTAATATTTGTAGTATTTTTTTTAATCATTGGAACATAAAATAGTAACGGTTGTGTGACTTGACATTGCAAAATTTAAAAATGGCATCCTTGTAAGCTAAAATAACTCAAATGGCATTACTAAAACTCAATGTAAGCTAAAATTTTTAGGATTATGGAGTCAAATTATGTTAAAACAAACTTAAGGGTTAGGGGTTTCTAAAACGGATATAGTTTGTGAGATATTGTTGTTTAAGGAGGAAATGTAGGGTTTAAGGTTGTGATATAGTGATCATGATTTTGGGTTTAAGGTTGCAATTTAAAGAGAAGTGGCAGTGATTTGAGGTTTAGGGTTGCGAAAGCTATGATTTTGGGAAAATCGAGAGCTAGGGATTATGATTTTGTTGTGTTTATGGTGGGGTTGAAATAGGGTTTGATCTTGTATTTTTTTAGGTAGTGTAAGATCAAATTAGATTCTAGTGTTGGTGTTTGTTTAGGGTTTGGCAAGCAATGGACAGAAGAAAGCTTCTATTGAGAGGGAATGCTATGCTTATGTAAGGTAGGTGTTCAACATATTTTTATTGTTTTTTTTTTTTGTTTCTGCCTAGTACTAAGTGAAGTAGTTTGAATGGGCTTGTTTAGTTTCAAGTATTTAGTATGGTTGTTGCAAACATATTTTTATTATGCTTTGTATGGTGTTGAGTGTGATAAGTCATTTTTTAATGCTTATGTTCTGCTCAATGTGCTAAGTCATTTTTGTTTGCTTGTCTTGTATTTTGGAGGCATGTGGAGTCATGTTTGGTTTTAAATGCTTTTTGAGGCATTAGTAGTCATGTTTGGATTTGACTACATGTTGAGGCATGTGTATTAAATTGTCATCTAATGAAGATTATTTAATTGAGTTAACAATTATAACGATATTCTTGAATTAATATGGGCTCATATAGATTGAGTTCGAATGGTTTTTTTTTTTTTATAAAGTATTGTCTATATTTTCTGCATATGTTACAATCATTTATACATTAATATCATATGTGAAAACCAACCAATTCTAAATAATCAAATAAGGGAACACATTGATATTGATGACCAAGCTACCGTGTGAATTTTAGCTGAAACTTGATATATATAAATGACTATATGCCTCCATATGTAAATGACTACATGCCTCCATATGTTCAGATCTTGAAGTTGTCACTTGATTAATAAATATGTTAAAGATTTAATGTTATAATAGAAGAGATTAGGCTAGTGTCTATTCTTTATTTTCAAGTCTTAACTTATTATGTTTTTCAGAAATAGATTAGATATGTTAACCAAAGCTAAGACTATTAGTATATTACATATTAATTTAAAACTATTGGATACAAATTAGTTTTGTACTTTATGCCTAAATCGTATTAGTTTTTTAATTAATGTTTTGAAATTTGATAATTCTTTCAAAGCCTAAATCAAACTACTTTTCAACTGTTGTTCATTATGGTTGTAAAGTATACTAGAATGAGATTTGATTACTTTGGCTTATGCCATACAGAAGCTATGTCTATGATTGTAATAAATGATATGATTGGAGAGTTAGGTTATCTAAGCTTAACTAGATGTTATTGGAAAATGTTTGAAGGGTCACTTAGTATTGATAATGTTATGCCTCTTATAACAAAATTTGATGTTGTGAATATGTTGTTTGCATGCCTAGAAATCATTACATCCATGTTTACTTAGAGGATAAGTTTGTCATTGATGGATGTAATATAGATGATAGATTTGTTGAAGAAGAATCACAAATGGAAATTGCTTCAGACATTAAAAGTGAAATTGAAATTGAAAAAAAGCAAGTCATGAAGGTGTTAATTTTAATTTAGAAAAAGATGAAGTTTTATTCAATGAACATGAAAATGATAGTGATAGTTCTAATTTTTATTTTAATGAGAGTGATTATGATATGGATGATGATGATGATAATGTATTTGAGATTAATGTTGATTTAGGAATTGAGAGTGATATGGATTGAGGTGCTGGAGCTAGCATTGGAATGGATGATGGGTTAGGTATTAGAGTTAGAGGAGCAAATGTTGAAGATAAAGATAGATCTAGATATAAAATTTAGATTTTTTGCACAGTGCGCATGAATCTGATTCTAAAAGTGTTAGTAAAGGTATAATCGATTAAGTTTGAGTCGATATAGTACCAAGCTCAAGCTTAATTCTAAATTCAAAGCTCAAAGATCGACTTGAGCTGAATTGAGTTTTATTTTTTTAGCTCGAGCTTGACTTAAGATAGAAATCAAGTTATTTGAACTCACTCGATTAAGTTTAATTAACATGTAAAAATAAACTTGATTCTTATACTCGATAAAAACTTGATTATTTATGCTCAAACTCAAGTTCGAGTTTGAGATTTTTTATAACTATTTTTTATCAAACCTAATAAATATTATATTTTTAAGATAATAGCAATAATAACAGCAACAATAATAACAACAACAACAACAACAACAACAACAACAACAATAATAATAATAATAACTTACATAACAACCAATTAGAAATAACTTGAGCAAGCATCAATAAGAAACTTAAATTTAGCTCAATAAAAGAATTTGATATCCAAGTTTAGCTGGATCAATTTAAAATATATATATATAATGCTTAAAAGACAAATAATCTTTATACTAAACATTATAATTCCAATGTGTGATGCACTATATTATTGCATGAACTCAGCTCGTTTACTTAAACAAGCCAAAATGTGAGACTTAAATTTCAAGAGTGCTTAAATTCTCTTTAATTTAGCAATTCAAGCTTGAATATTCCACAAGCAGCTTATGTCATTTTCATCACTAATTTTCTACTTTAGAATAAAAGAAGATAGAAAAGAACAAGCATTAACCTTAGTTGACCTCTAGTTATCAAGACAAGATCTATGGACATACTTTTGAGTACCTTTGCAATGGCATGGTGCAATTAAGTCATCATCTAAAATATAAGTAACTAAGTGCCTCGACATAAATAGATCAGTTTTATAATTTGTGCTATTAGCTTAGGATTGGGGGAATGAGAAACACTAAGCCAGCGTCAGAAGGATGGTTAGTTGGCTAGTACATCGACGTTAGAAAAGATTGGAAGAGAATGAAGGAAAGGTGTACCGCAGATGGATTTTTGGTGGGATGGGCAAGACAGGGAGAAAGAAGGAAAGAATAAAATGAAAGATTAGGGTTTTATAGGTTAAAGGTAAGATAATAATTTTATAAATAAAATAATAAAAATATATATAATAGGAAAGTTTAATTAAGCTTGTGAGCTATTCAAGTCAAGTATTAATATACTCGAATTCGACTCGTTCGATAAATCGAGCTATTCGAACTTAAGCTCAGCTTGAAAATGATTGAGCCGAATTTTAGTTTTATCTGAATCAAATTTGAGTAGCTTACGAGTATTAATGTATCATTCACACTACTAAGTGTCATAACGTCTAGATCCGGGGATCTATCGTTAGACATTGACTTAAGGAGTCGCCACCAATTTTTTTTTATCTAGGTGCGATTGGTCACCTAAGAAATTTATCCTTTCAGGAAACACATAAGTTTAAAGGTCCTTAAAAGAATAGGTTCAAGTCTACTAACCAAAATAAGGTTCGAGAATTCGGTTACATGTGGGGAAGGTTATAGCAACCCCACATGCCCATCCAAAGGATGGTACCATATTATTTCGAATTTATCATAAGGTTTAGAATCTAATGGCTTCAAATTTTATGTTAAATATTGGAAATAATTTTTAAGATTCTTCATCAATCTGATAGTACTCTCAAAAAAATTCTTCCTCACCTCAAGAGTATTCAAGAATTCCATTTGATTTCTTAAAGAGGCTCTGTTGTTGGAAAAAGATTTATTTATTATTTTTTATTATTACCATTTTTATTGAAAATAAATTTAATTATTCCACCATTTTGGCCAAATTAAAAATATTTTCTCTTTTAAATTTTTAAAATTTTCACCATTTGGGTCATTTAGAAATTCTCTTTTTCTTAGAAAGAAAATAATATGACAATTATTTTTATTGAAATTTCATCTAAATTATTCCACCATTTGGGTCAAATTTAGAGAAAATTTCTCACTTAGAGATTTCTTAAAAATTTACCATTTGAAATTTCTAAGAATCTCATCTTTAGATAATTATCAAATATTTTCAATCTAATTTTTTTTTTGGAAAAAAAAACAATTACTTGTATTAAAAATTTCATCTAAATCATTCCACCATTTAGGCCAAATTTAGAAGAAATTTCTAACCTAGAGATTTCTTAGGAATTTACCATTTGAAATTTCTAAAAATCTCATATTTGGATAATTTGTATTGAATTCAAAAAAAAAATTTATAGTTTTTAATTTTTCCTTTTTGGTTTGAAAATAAATATTAATTATTGATATTGAAATTTTATCTATATTATTCCACAATTTGGATAAATTTAGACAAAATTTATGACCTAAAAATTTTATAAAAATTTATCATTTGAAATTTTTATAAATTCCATCATTGGATAATTAATATTTATTCCCAAAATTTTTATTTTTTATTATTTTATTAAATTTAATATCAAATAATGAAAACCATAAAACAAAGTGAACAAATAAACAATTATGCATAAAAACAAAACAAATGAATAAACAATCAAATAAAGAGAAAAAATAAATACCAAACAATTAAAGAATTTGAAAAAAAAAAATAAATAAAACAAGTAAAAGTATCGAAGTTGACGTGAGCCTTTGGGATGAAATTATACCAAATCAATGTACTAGCCTATCACAT